CAATAGATCTGATTGGTACAGCTTGTTGAAGATCCCTCTCAAATATCACTCAAATGAGCCCGATCAGCCCATATGATGCAATTAGTCTTACTATGTATAGATAGACATCAAGAATACAATTTCTGTAATATGTAGATTAATGATACGAATCGAAAATCGATTAGTTGTAAAGTGACAAATCCAACTTAGTCGATTTATCGATTAATCGACTAATCGAATCGATTAGTCAACTAATCGATTAATCGATAAGTCGATTGATTGGTCAATTAATCAACTGATCATATAAGAATATCAAACCCCACTGTTTCAGTTGCTATTTTACGTGTATTTTACCAAGTTTAATTTATTTATCGATTATTGCGGTTTGCAAAATTATGTGAAATTTGAAGATCATTAAAAAAATCACTACTGGTTTCCGATTTCTTCAACATTTTTTTGCAAACCGATTATTGCGGTTTACAAAACTTTGCAGATCAAGAAAAAAAAGAAATCTTACGATTTCTAAGTGATTTCAGATTTCTTGGTCTGCAAAGTTTACAGAATTTTGCAAACCGCAATAATTGAATATCGATTGATCGATTTGTAGATCAATATATCAATTGACGAGTTATAAACCTTAACGAGGTTTATAAACCTTCGGACGGGCAAAGAAACTGAGGGTTATAGATTAAGTAGAAATAAAACTTAATATTTTAATAACTAGCACATGTATATATTTTTATCTGTGCATATTAAAGAAAAATCCGTAATTTTTTTTAAAGTCAATTTTCGAATTGATTCACTGATCTCTTTATTCAACTATTTGATCTTCGACATTCCTCAACTTTCGATCTTTATAGAAAAAAATTGGCAATATCAAATTATATACAGTTATAAATTTGTTCTTGATACTTGCGATAAAATTTTTTGATTTCATTACAAAAAAAGATTGCAAATTAATGAAATTAATTATAATTGTATGCGTCAAAAATAGCATATTTAAATTTTTATTAAGAAATTAAAATTTACAAAAAAGTACAAAAAAAAATAAATAAATAAAATTATTACATAATAGAAGAATGTATAAAATAAAAAGTAACTAATTTTACAGTATATAAAAATAAGTACTCGAATTTTGACGCAAAAATTAAAATAAAACATATGCTATTATCAATCTTTATTATCTAATACATGATTCTAATTTTTAAGCGAGTAATGATCTGAATAATTGTATATATAAATTCATTGATATAATTGCTTGTAACAAAGTATAAAACAGACTAATTATAATATAATGTTAGCAATCAGCCCAATATATAGTAAATAACATTAAAGACAATTCGTATTTAAAAAAATATTTATTCTAATATATCTTTTATCATGGTTATGTCTTTTAACATTGGTAAATCAGAAAGTTCTAATGTTCTTAATTTTGACTGTAAAAGGTCAATTTGTTCTTGTTCAGTTGTTTCTTGCGTAATCTAAAAAGAAATATATTTTAAAAAAATTAGTAAGTATAATAACATTTCCAGACGATGCATTTAAATCATAGTCACCTTGAAAGTTGGAGAAAATGGAGGAATTGGAGAAATTGGAGGAATTGGAGACAATGGAGGAATTGGAGACAATGGAGGAATTGGAGACAATGGAGGAATTAGAGACAATGGAGGGATTGGAGGGATTGGAGGGATTGGAGGGATTGGAGGGACGTCATCCTGTAAATTATGAGTATATTAGAATATCGAAATAAACATCGAAATCAATATCGAAATAGAATAATGAAAAACATAAATTACCACGTATGAAATACGTGTTTCATTAAGGGTATTCGTTCTTAATCTACATTTTGGAGATGCATATTTTGGAGATGTAACTTTAACGTCATAATCGGTAGTTGTACTTTTTCCAAAATTACTGCTAGCAAAGTTTTTGACATAACTTTTATTTTTGTCAGTTTCAATGTTTCTTTTTAAATTGTTTTGCAAGCAATAATTTATTAGTTTCTTTGGTGTAATAGGTTTAAAGACTCCGACAGTTTGACCTCCGATCGTTCTAGCTAATTTTTTTACTAAAGCTCTTCCACTGGCGCTTGAGAATGCCATTAGAATAATTAATAAGTCATCACCATGTATTTCTCTTAATTCTGATGCAACTTTAGTAAGTGCAGCCGCATTTTCTTCATAAAGGTTGGCTAGTACTATAGTGTAAGATGATTGATTATTTAGCTCTCTACGATATCTTACCAGTTCAACCTCGTGGTCACATGTATCAAATAATTCAATTTTTACATTATTTTTAAAAAAACTTGATATAGCACTCCAACAACTTCGAAATGGATTGATTAACACAATGCGGTTTAAACTCAGATTAATTGATCTATTTAACATCTGTGCTATATCTGCAACAGCATTGGAAGCTTTTGGTACAGATGTTATTGGCATTGTTTCAACATTCCATGTAAACCAAAATCTACTTCCTCTTCCTAATTTGCTTTCTGCTCCTATTTTACCACCATTAATTTCTACTAGTTGTTTACACGTAATCAGACCAAATCCTGTGCCATCTTGTCGTTCGGTTTTTGATTCATCAATATTTAAAAAACCTTTCCAAATATTTTTCATAAAATCGGGACTAATGCTATTATATATTATATATGAAAAACAATTATATATATTGTAGCATATATTATTACATTAATATAACGCATGATTAACTATAATTAGCTTACCCGACACCAGTATCATATAATTCAACTAATATTTCTATTTTTTTAACTGCGTCTGTATGTCCTTTTGCTTTTGAAGAAACCTTCATTACAATTTCACCTTCTTCAGTATATTTTATTCTTGATAAAAAAAAAAATTAAGATTTTTAATAGTTTAATACATATTATAACAATATATGATCTTGTGAAGAAAAATCATGCTTACGAGTTTGACAATAAATTAATTAATATCTGTCTTAGTCTATATTAAAATAATATTTATTAATAATTTTTCCTTTTTGATTTTACAAAGATCAAATCTAAATCTTACCTTTCAGGATCACTCTTAACGTATTTTGGCATAGTATCTAGGTCGTAACTTAAAATTAATTCGACTTGTTTATTTCCAGCTCTTTCACCAAATATTTCAATTGCACTTTCAAATAAATTTAATAAATTAAAAGTCTTATTCTTCAAAATGATCTTATGTTCATCTAATTTTACTGCATTAAGAATATTGTTGACTGTAGATAATACGACATCAGAGGCGTTTAACATTATTTTAACCATATCTTTTTGCTGTTTGGTTAACTTTTCATCTTCAAAAGAAGAAAGAATGCTTACAATTGCTCCCAGTGGAGTTCGTAATTCTAAAATACGTAAAATTAATTATTAATGATGGAAATTTAAGATAAATAATATAACTTTTAAACATCATACCATGAGATACATTAGCTAATATTAGACTCTTAGCATTATTAGCGGCTTTAATAGATTCCATTCTCGCTTCTTCAATCAATTTTTCTTGTGTTAATCGTGCATAATTAATAGCTACATTTATTTGATCTGATACTTGTTGAAATAAATCAATCTCCAAATCAAGCCAAGTATAATTTGGTGGTCTATGTGCTTTTATCCATCCCCAAGAACCATTATCAACACATATCATTACCGATAGTTGAGATACTTGTTTATTAACATCCTCACAATATGTATTAAGTAAAACTTTTACTTTAAAATCTTTAGCATTGTTATCGTAATCTAAAGATCTTATTTGACTAACGCTATTTGGCCTTTTAATCCTAATTTTCGAACGTTCCAACTTTGCATGCTTTTCACCTTTACTATTGAGAAATTTGAAAATTTTACATCAAATTTATATATACATACGTCAAACATACTGAAAATAAATAACTTACGTCATTGATTGATGATCTTCAGATAAAGCAATTATTTTATAATCATTACTATTAACGCTAAGATTTTGATGTGAAATAACAAATACCCTATCACATGGTAATATTTTATGAATGTCATTAACAACTCTTGAAAGAGTTTCTTTCAAATCTATTCCGGAAAGGATATAATTTGAAATCGAAATTAACAATTGTTTTATCTCTTCTTCTTTAACTTGTTGAGATATTAATTGATGACGAAGTTGTGATAGATTAATATTAGTACGTATACGAGCAATTAGTTCTCGTGAATTAAATGGCTTTATTATGTAATCATCTGCTCCATAATCTAGACCTAAAGTAAAAAAAAAAAAAAACCATTAAATTTTAAACATATACAAAAAATTTTCAGATAAAATAATTTTACAAAAATAAATTATACCAGAATTCTCATTAGCCTTTGCAGTTAATAAGATAACAGGAATTAAACGAGTCTCAGGATTTAATCTTATCATATTTAATAGTTCATAACCGCTTGTACACGGCATCATAACATCTATTAGTACAATTAACAAAATTAATACTTTCATTAATACTTAACTAAGCATAAAATTTAAAATTAAAATTAAATTACTTACCACTAAGGATTAAATCCGGTAGTTTAGAAGATCTTTTTAAGTGTGCCAAAGCTTCCCGACCATTATTAGCGGTATGAACATCAAATTCTTTTTTTAACAATTCCTTCAAATAATTTCTATGAAATAGTTAGAACAAGTAAAATTCACTTTTGTTTTTTTTTTTAAAAAAAAATGAGGATTTTATTACCTCATGTCAGTATTATCTTCAACAAGTAAAATTCTATGTTTTATATTTTCAGAAAGAGAAAAATAATCCAATGAAAATCTTTCATTATCTGATGATCTTGAACGGTTACGTTCTCTAGTCATAGGTTCACTACTATGAATCCACTGTAAATTTTCTTCTAAATATAGTTGTTTTTTAGTATATAGTTGGTTTTCATAACTTGTTTCATCTTCTTTTTTATTGAGGCATACTTGATCTCTTGGTAAATGAATATATCCTGTTATAAACCGACACTTGAATGTTGTTCCTTGTCCTACTTTTGAGGTTACGCTGATATCACCACCATGAAGTGTAATAAGTTCCTTTATCAGTGCAAGACCAATTCCGGTACCTTCATGACTACGTGATTGTTGTGAATTTACACGATAAAAACGTTGAAATAGGTTTGAAAGATTAATTTCTGAAATCCCAACACCTAAATTAAATTGTATAAAGAATAAGTATGACTTATAAATTAAATGAAATTATTTTACACAAACTTAATAAAAACCTGTATCTGATACTTCAAGAATTATTTCATTTTCATTTTCAGCATATAAACGAACACAGATTTGTCCACTCCAAGTATTTTTAAATGCATTAGAACCTTTAAAAATGTCAAATACAATGATTTAAAAACCTTTTCATATAAAAAAGCGAATCTAGAGTAAATGTGATAAATGCATACAAAGATTATAAATAATTGTTTCAAACATGTCACGATCTATGTAAACATTGTCTCTTAAAGCTCGTTTAAGATCTTCAGATTTTGGAACATCTATAATGTATTTTAGCCTTAGCTTTTGAGCTAGACCATTAAAATTAGAGGCTAATTCTTGAGTAATTTTTGCTAAATCGGTTTCACAATATTGTGCCTCTATTCGACCACTTTCTGCGTTCGAAAACTATAAATAACAACAATAATAATGATTGATTGGTAAGGTTTACTGAATAACACAATATCAAATGTTTAATGATTTTTTGAATTATCTACCTGAAGTAAATTACTAACTAGTTTGAGCAATCGACGCGTGTTACGTTGAACAGTTAGAAGGTGAGAATGTATAATTGACCCTTTCAAAGATGTACCAATAGCCTCATCAAGAGGTGAAAGTGTTAATGTTAACGGAGCTAGAATTATTGAGATAAAAAATTAGAAAATATTTAAGAGTCATACTTTAAAACAAAAATAATATGATGATTAATAAATACTGAGTAGTTCGTGACTAATGTTTTGGAAAAACTTGATTTTTTGACGATTTAAATCAGCCAATAATTCTAATTGTTTTTGTTCTTCTTGCCTTGACAAACTGCGAGTTAATGCTACGCTAAAATGATTCATTACCAGCTAAAATTAACAAAATAAATCAACAAAAAATAAATCAAAATAAATCAATAAAAATGAAGAAGTAAAATTAAATATAACATTAATCTTACGTGGAATAATTTCATATATTCATCTTCTAGTGGACTACAAGGATTAATACCACAGATAAATACAGCCGCCAATATTTGATCGCCACCATAAAAAATCTTAATGGGAAATAATATAGCTTGAGAACCATCTTTTAAAAGAACTTTTATGTGTTTGTCTTCCTTTACTACTAGATGAATCGGCCAAGCATTGCATTTTAAAAATAAATGAGTGGTTGATGATGTTGGCCATCCTACTTCAACATATACATCATACTTTTCATTAGCACTTTTAGTTAAATCAACTACATCAGGAGTTTCAAGTAATTTATTTGCCAAATGTTTATCGGGCATATCTCTGTTAAATGTGGTAGCTGCTAAACGAGCAGTATGAGGTTGATAACCAGATCTTAATTTATTGTTTTCAATAAGATAAACCAAGGCGAAAGGAAAGTCTTTATCGTTTTCACGTAACGTTGACATCATAACGCTACAAGCATTACAAGCGGTTTCGAAAGATTCAATCTTGAAATATGCTTATAATAATATTTAAAGTTAATAATACGATTAAATTTACATATTCAGTCAAATGACAATAATAATTTTACTAACGTAAAATGACAACAATTTTTTACAAACCATTAAGCCTATTTCCCATGTCATTAATAGATTTTAATCTTCGCATTGTCAAAATCTTGTCAGTTGTTTCAAAAAAAATAACAAATACACCACAAAATGAACCATCTACTTTAAAAATCGGATTAAATGAGGTCAAAACATATTTTTCTACTAAGCGGTCTT